GCACTGGTTACACATTAGGTGCCTGACTTCTGTATGACGAGATTTGAACTGCGCCGATTGAGAGGAGGTTAAAAAGAAGGTCCCATTAAACTCTTAAAACATAATCTGTTTTTCCTTTCTTATAAGAGTAGTTCCAATCAAATGCTACATTTCCGTTTTGCACCTCTAGTTATCTCCTAAGCTTTGAAACGCCTTGTAGCCTTTGAGACCAGAAATCTACAAAAGAACGAAAAGGCACCTCGAAATAAAATCACTCATCCGTTTTTCGAAAAACGGATGAGTGATTTTAGCAATGGGAACATTCGTGTCATTCCACTCCTTCACCAGTTTATTATGGGGGCGCAGGGGGTTGGATTCCATCCCACCATGCATTGTGCCAAGAGGAAAAGCTCTGGTCTGGTGGCCACCCAATCGCTGGGCTCTCTCTTTCCGTTGGGCTGCACTCGACCTGGATGTCTTTGGGTCGTAGGATAGAAATCTGAGCAGCGAGTGAACGACCGAACACTCTTCACGGAGCGGACGGAGCCAAAGGGGGCTGGAAACGTCTTGCTGTGTTACCACTGAGTCACCAGGCCTTCTTACTAGGACAACATATCGATGTCACCGTGTGAAAAGTGACTAACTCCGGCTTGGATGACTTTCGTGTTTACACTCCCAGTATTCTCTCCCACCGCCTCGAGCTGTAACATCTTGAACCTGTCAAACCCTTTCAAAGCTCTTTTAATGATCCAATGATCCAAGCAAATGAACGGCGGAGCTTGTCCATCAGCCGAGTCGGGGACAGGAAGCAGTGCAATGTGAAGAATAAGAGAAGGACTCTCAGAGCTTCATGGACCAGGTGAACCTACTCACCTGACGACCCTCCCATGTCGGCCAACGGACTGCTGAGGTTGGACAGGGTTTGAGTTTTGCGGGTATTTGGTGGGGAACCAGTAAGTGCTGGATAAATTAAAAATACTTATTATGGTACAGTGAGTTAAGGAATCTTCTAAATGATTACAACAAGTGCGTCTTTCTAAGGACCATCAAGGTTGTCCAGTTCTCACAGGATAAATGAAACAATGAGCTGTTGGTGAGGAAAAGTCAAGGGATCAAATACATTGTAATAATACAGTGTGCGGGAAACATGGTAATCCTTCCAACAGCCGTGATAACAGCAGATATAAAATAAACTGATTTTCAGTCCTTGACTGGTGCAAAGATGTACTTCTATGATCTCAGACACACAGCAGATCCAAGGCAGTGCTCCAGCACAGATTAACATGTTTGTTGAAAACAAGTAAAACGTGCACAAAAGGCTCGTAGAATGATTTCATTTTACAATCTTCCAAAAGAAAACAACTATTGAAATAGTGTTGAATGATACTTGTTTTGCTTTTGTCTCACAAATAGAATCCTCATTAAGCCACAGTGCACTCATGTCCTTTCTCTGTGGTTAGAAACTGTGAATATGTTTACCATAGCAACATGTTGCTGTGGTGTAGGAGATATATTGTTTCGGACTAATATTTACACAACACGCTGTTGTCATAATGCAAGAGGAACAGATAACTGAGCACGAGGTCAATAGCGCTTCTGATCGCACTCTGAGCTCTTAAGAAGACTGTAATGATTACGATCTCTATCTCTTGCTCTCCCTCTCTTTAAACGCACACACAAACCCACTCACACTCTTTCATCCCCACTAATGCCACCCTTCGTCTAATCTTCCTTGCACTTGTTGTTTTCCCCCGTCTCATCTTCGGCCTCCAGACCACTTTCTGCCTCCCCCACGCACTCATGATTGGACATGATGGACAAATTGTTCTGACCCGGGACAATTAAGCCGGCGCGGTCGCCTTGCCGATGTGTGTTTGTTGTTGATGTTGTTGCTCATGGAGCTTGGCAACATGTAGCCCTGCTTCTCTCTAATCTCGGTTATCTGTTTGTGTGCTTTTGTCTGTCTGTGTGTGTGTGTGTGTGTGTACCTTTGCCAGATCCTACCCTTTACGTGCGCAAGTGAGTCCGGTAAATTCAGAACACTGAGTTCCTTTCAAGGAGCTGGGTGACGGCAGCAGGTTCCCACCAGACCAGCGGCACGGTGCTTAACGAAGGCTGAGCCGGACCGGGCGGGAAAGTCCCCGCGGAGGCACAGAAAGCAGGAGGCCCTGCGGAGTCAGTCAGGCATCCTGCAAAGCCCCCGAGGGCCAAACCAGCAACACACGTGCACAATAACAAAAGGGCGTAAACAGTGTTTATGGCGAAGGACACGTGAACGTTAATGACGTTTTTATTACCGTTTCAAAGCGATCACAATGAAAAAAAAAGAAGAAAAAAAAAGAAAAATCTAAAGATACCTCAAGCTTCTTCAACTATAAGAAGTAAATGAAAAAACGCTTCCTAGGATGATAATCCTTTCTCCTTTTTTTTTTTTACCCGGAAAGCCTTTTACTTTCAAACAAATAATACATTGCATCAATCAGTAGACTTGATTCTCATTTAGTCTCGATCCAGATCAATGTTCCTCTGAAACATGAAAACAGCTGACTGCTTCTCCTCTTAGCTCCAGTTCCCTGCAGTTTAAATGAATTGTTGCTATCTAAAAGCTCCGATGTACTGGTTCCATGTGCTTCCTCTGTCTGAGGAGCATATTTCAATATGTAACTGAATTTTCTCCACAGTATTTTTGTGCGTGAGCATTTGCAATCTCTCGCCCGGAGACACGTAGTACTATAAACATGAGCTCACGCACACACACACACACACACACACACACACATGGGCGCCCATTGCACAAATTCAACAGCCCTTATGCAAACCCATGTATGTCCTTATCTAAAGGGCCAGACACACTGGAGTTGTGTGGAGTGGAGTATCACTGGTGATGTGTTCTCCCTCCCTTCTTGGCGCTGACGCCTGTACTGCTTGTGTGGGTGGCTCCCACCCACCCATCTGTGCCCATCGAGGCCCCCGGAGTCCATCTGGCATCTTCCTCTGTGTCTGTCGAGCTGTCACCTCCGACCGGCCGCCTTAACGAGGCGGCGAGAGGGAGCTGAGCTCTGTAACGCCGCTTCAGCTCTGTGGGTTTCCTGTTGAAATGTACATAATTGAAACGCACAAGTCCTAACTAATAACCGGTCTAGAACCACTAATGCGCGTTTCACAGATCTGCATGGTCACAAACTGGATCTTCAATATTTAACATAGTTGATCAATTTGAAAGGAAATGTTTTGGACACAAATGAATCCCTTGACTCACACTATTCGTTCTTTTAATAGATCATTAGGAAAACAGTGGGATCTTCGAACTAAGAGTTTTAAGTGTCGGTGATGGATGTTATGAGCCGGCCTGTGGGAACAGTGTGGCAAATGCCCCCCTACATTTAATGAGAATTTCACGGTAAGACAGAATGAGACCTCGCTACAGTCTTCAGTCTGAGCAGAGGGGATTCTGATGATGAAGATAAGTCGCGGGTCATTTGCATGTTAAAAAGCCTGGAGACAATGGAGGATTACCAGGGACGCATATAGAAATACAGCCGTCAACGTACTGGGTCTGACACCAGGGATCCTTCATAGCTCTGTGTTTTATTACAGGGCGGTGCAGGGGTGCTTGTAAGAAATAACGTTTTGATTGATTAAGGGAGGCTACAGCATTTCCCCATTCCTGTACTGGCTTGATTTAATTATTGGCAAACGATAAATTGTCCAAATACATATTTACCAGACGGATAAGCAGGAGGTAACGATCCGCTTATGAAAAAAAGTGTCCTCTCAAGATGTCCAACTGTTCCATGTATGCAACATTTCGACATTTCGACAAGCCTTTTCTCTTAAATGCAGTTGAAATAAAGCAATAATTTAATTCAGTCTACTCCCTTTTCCCAGGCAAACAAATCAATCTCTTCATCATGAATGCTATGCCTTCAAGGGTTCAATGACCAGCGGTCTGATGGCTTCCTGAGCCTATTATCCACTCCGATACCATGCGAAGCAGTCTGTAAAGTATTGTTTATAAGTGTCCGAATGAGCTATCAGTAGGACTTTTGTCGAGCGAAGGAGTGGTTTGGGTTTCTTATTTTACATGTTTACGTATTGAATCTTTTATTGATCTTTACAGAAGGAATCCCCAACAATTGTTTCAACTATTGGAGAAGTTTGTGGAGACAATGGCCCTGACTCACCAGAGGGGGCAGCGCCTCCCCAGAAAAACTAAACAAAAAAAGCTCCATGGAAACCCCTCACACACACGCGCGCACAGACGCCATAATGTCAGCAGCCGGTTATTCATAGCCTTACTGATTCCAGTAACAGAGGGAAATATGTTATTGTGCCGTCTGTAGGAAAGCATGAGGCCTGAAATAGTAAAGCAACTTGTTATATTTGAAAGGCTGCATGTGTGTGATCTCTTTTTTTCCTCAGTCATGCCAGCATCCCCCCCTGTCCTCCCCTCCAGACACATCTTCCGCTTATTAGCACTGTGTTTGCCATTGAGCTGATGGCTCCTCGGTCATGTGAGGCGCTCCAACGTTGTAGTTGCAATATGTGTTACGTCAGACGGGACTTTTAGAATGCTGCTAAGAACGACACTGGCACCGTTTCATTAACGTATTTGCAAGGTGCAAATGTATGGTGCAATATCACATTTCCCCCCCATGGATCTCTAAATCTTGCATAATTATTGATTCGATCGAGTGTAAAACGTGGGCAACGGCAAAACACATCCTTTGCAAAATGATGAGACACCAAACTTTTTTTTCTGTACATAAAAACGGGAGTTTAATTGAAACTTTTGTATCAAAAAAATAGCAATATCCATCCTTCACAGCCACAAGTCACACAGCTGAACTGAAAGGGTCTCCAACATGAGGCTGGGACAACTGCGAAAGCCGGTACACCCGTTGCTGAGTTTTCCGTCGAACTGAAGATTTACCGCGACAATAAAGAGATTTCTGATAATAAGCAATTCAACATTACCAAAAGACTTTTTCATAAAGTATTTAAATAACATTCAAATGCTCTTCAAATTTAAGTAAACTTGTTTTATTCTGCTTTACATTGACAACTGCTTCAGTGCATCCTCCACATCTATACAAAAAAAAAAAAAAAAATGTAAAAATAAGTTATAGGAATGCAAACCAAAGGCCAAGTAGGATATGCAAAATGTAGATGGGATTTTAAGCACTGATAATAAATAAATAAATAGCCACAGAGTGTGGAATGTCTACATGTTTACAAATAAATTAAATGCAAATGAGAGGAAAAATAATGTACATCAAAACAAAAACAAAAAAAAGAAGAAAAACAGGCTGTACAACATTTGTTGAAAAAGAAACTACATAAAATTGTGTCCATGAATTTTGCATTGATTGTGCATTTCACACCCCAAACCCTGAGGGAGACCAGGGGAGGGGGCCATGTAGTGTAGAGCAGTGAGATGGCAGGAGGCAAAAAAGGAAACGTCAAGAAGGGCCAAAACACCCCGCAACTAGCAGGATGGGGGCAGAAGAGGGGGGGGGGGGGGGGGGGGGGTGGCCGTGTGTTGACATTTTGTAGACATTCAGAAAAGACAGGATCCAGTTTCCAAACACCTGTTCAGGCTATAGAGTGAGTGAGCAGCGTTAAAGAGAGCGACACAGAGTCGAGTCGAGTGTTTTTTCAAGTATTCCATTGTCAGGAAGAGCCCCCACCTCCTTCTCTCCAAACGAATGCTATCTCAGCCTCTTGGCACGGGGCTCGTTGGCTTACAGTGATGGAGAGAAAGGAAGAGGAAAAAAAAAAATAAAAAAAAAAAACGAACCACAGCCCCGCCCCCCCCCCCTCCTTCCATAACAGCACAAGCAACTCAGCCACCAGGCCATGAGCGAATGTAAAAATAATAATAAAAAATGTTGAAAAGCCCCCCTCCCCCCAACGAAAAGCAGCGTTCCAAAAAAAGAAAGAAAAAAAGGCACTACAAAATCAAAACATTTAAATAAAAAGTAAAAAAAATAAAAAGGTTTTCTCCAAGCTCTACGAGAGCAGCCGGGTCTGGTCAGGAGGGCGTGTACAAGCCCAGAAACAAAACGAGGAAAATAAAAGACCACCCAAACAGAAAAAATGTTCCCGATTAGGAAACGAGTATCATTAACTGAAAGTGGGGGTTGGTGGGGGGGGGTAAAAATATTGAATGGGGTAAAATAAGGAAGAACAAATAGTAATAAATTAGAAATTCCCTACAAAAGAGGAAAAGTAAAGTACATTTCATCTTGCCGGACCAGCAGTGACCAGTCGGGCTACAGGCTGCCAGCCTCGAGTCCACGTCCAGCCCCGCCATCAGACCCCCCCCTGTCCCGTATAGTCTTTTTCGTCCACCCGTGCCGTCCTCAGAGGCTCTCCTTGCTCGAGCTTGTGCTTGACGACGAGTCTGTGTCCAGGGTCCTGAGGCGGATCTCGCTGGCCGCCGGCTCCTCCGGGGACTTGGGAGACTCTGTTGCCGCCCTAATCCAGGGGTGGTCGCATATCTGCTCCAGGGTGGGCCGGTCCGAGGGCCGCAGGGCCAGGCACCATTTGATCAGCTGCTGGCACTCTGAAGGAAGAAGTCAGAAACAAACGTCAGGGGTCAGCAACTGGGAGGTAGATTTAGGGGGGGGGGGGCTGTACCAGCAGCTGGAGCTAGAGGGCATCAGCGTCCACGCGTCTCATTGTGGGTCGACTTACCGGCAGAAACCCTCCTCCGGAAGTACAGCCTCCCTTTGAGGATCTCCTCGTCTTGCTCAAAGGGGATGTCTCCGCACACCATGTCGTAGAGCAGCACGCCTAGCGACCACACCGTCGCAGAGCGACCGTGGTACCGGTGGAAGCGGATCCACTCCGGCGGGCTGTACACTCTTGTACCTAAAGACAATGACAAATAGGGGAAAGAGAAAAGTGCAGAGGTGAGTGATGAGTGATGTCTGTTGTGTAACATGGCATGAACCAATGAGGGAAAAAAAGCAGTTTCATATGTTGTGGTGTAATATTGTCAGAATATAGAGGGAACTTGAAATGAGGGAAGTACAATTTTAAAATAAATAAATGTGTCTAAAATGGCTGAGTCACAGCGCAAATCCGTTCCATCTTCCTTCAGCCACAAAACACAAACTGGGTAACCTGCCCCTGTCTCCTCCCTCCCTCCCTCCCGATGGGAGGAACTTGGATGCCAAAAAAAGAGGGGCGAACGTGAGCCGGTCACGTGAGCCGCCAGCTCGGGTTTCACAACACGCAGATGTTACGTGGCACTGACATAACAACCACAAACTAGAGCTGCTGCTCAAAGCTTCACAGACTCAATGACTAGCGGAAAAATAAAAGCGCACGACGAATCACATATGAGGGAAATATATAATAATAAAAAAAAAATACCCCAATTATAAAAAAGTGAGTCACGCGTGTGAATCCATAACACCAGCGTCATACATCCCGATAAGACTCGTTTACACCCGGAACAGACGACGAGCCGCGAGGAAAACCCTCGACCAAAAATAATAATACTAATAATAATAAATAGACTGCTGCGCAGCGCGCGCCTCGCGGTGACGCCTCCGCTTCACAAAATAGCGCGGCGGAGCTCCGGTGGCGCAGAGGAGACCGCGAATACCGGGCGGGCGCTTACCGTCGAAATCGGTGTACACGGTGTCCTTGAGAATGGCCCCGGAGCCAAAGTCAATGAGCTTGAGCTCGCCGGTGCGCAGGTCCACCAGCAGGTTCTCGTCCTTGATGTCTCGGTGCACCACGCCGCAGCTGTAGCAGTGCCGCACCGCCTCCACCACCTGGCAGAAAAAGCCCCGCGCCGTGTCCTCGTCCAGGGCGCCCTTCTCGGTGATGAAGTCGAATAGGTCCTTGACGAGCTCCGGCCTCTCCATGACCATCAGCCAGCCGTCCGCGCGCTCGTAATAGTCCAGCAGCTTGATCACTCCGCGGAACGACGAGCTGACCTTCTTCAGCAGAAGGATCTCCAGCGGCACCATGGATCCGTTCTGATGGTTGGGGGGTGGGGGGATTCATTTTATTTGAGCCACTCGGCAGAAGGTTGGAGGTGGGGGATCAAAACAAACCACGCCATCACACACACACACGCGGGCAGAGAGCGGGGGAATGACTACTTACATTTGTGCCCCACTCGGTCACCCGCTCCTTGGCCACATGTTTCACAGCAACCTGGAATAAAACGCATCAAAACATTAGTACATCGTGTACGCGGATGCTCCGAAGGGTGTCCGCCGGGCTTTTTTTTTGTTCCTCCATGGCGAGGACACACATGGAAGATCAAAACATTACACCCCCCCCCCCTCCTCCTCCGGTCCCCCGGTCTCCGTGCAAGTCCTTACCGGTGCGCCATCAGAGATGCGGCTGCCGGCGTAAACTGTCCCGAATCCCCCGCTGCCCAGCACGGATCCCACTTGGTAGACCTTTTCGAAGGGCTCCTTTTCCACTTTAACTGCAAGTTGAGAAAAAAAAGAGGAGGAAAACAAAAGGTTAGGAACGTTATGGATAACGTGATGTTTTCAATGCAAGCACATCTGTTCAATTCTGTGTTCAAAGCGAGCAGCGGGAACTCACCGGGCTGGAGCTGTATTTTCACGGGTAGGTGGTCCATGCTCGAAGGGTTGCAAATGTGCGAAAATGAACCAAACTTTGACAACAACATATTCACGCCAAAAAAAGAGCCGGTGTAGACGACGCGTATCCACTCGTTTGGAAACCAGAGGAATCGACGGAGAGCCCGAGGGGCTCGCTGGAACACGGCGTGGTCCTATCGGGGCGAGCGGTCCCGGCAGTGCGCCACCTCCGCCGCGCCCGTCTAAAGACGTCTCGCGACCGTGAAGCCGCAGAGCGTCTCCCCGAAAACCGGCATGAAACCCGGGTCTCTCGACGCGAGCACGACCAGCGAAAACAGCCCACTGGAGAAATTAAATTAAATGAAAAAATAAAAATAACAACTCAAACGTCGGTACGCGTGCGGTGTCCGTATCGGCAATGAAGTGCGCGCGTTAAAGAGCCTCCGTTGCGTGCTGTTTTCCAGAGGAGCGGACGCTGTCTGAGCTTTGGCGCGGTCTCTCCCACAGCCAATATTTTGACGCGCGGCGGGGTGAATGTATCCCTCCGCCGCCGATACAACGCGACACGTTCGCTTAATTCTCGCGCAGAATCGCCACGTTTCCCCTAAATGCACATCCGCCCGAAACCGCTGTGTCCGTGTTGCGCTATTGTCACACTTTCCATCGAACGTATGAGCCAAATAATCATTTTATGCGCGCACTACTTTCTCATAGTACTAGACACCGAAGGACACCCGTGTCTGGAAATCCTGAGCCGTGTTCACTATCACACTCGGAGACGGCGACCAATTGGATGTCGTATATAAATACTGGGGTTTCGTATTTGGACCAATCCAGAAAAGGTTATTGTAATGAGGAAAGCGTTTGATTTGAGCGCACGTGGCGGCAATTCAGAGTTGCTTCTCTCCTCCCATTTCCTCCGCCGCTCTGCAGTGAGAAACCATTAGGGAGGTTTTTGATGGAGGAGGTGCTCTGTTTGTTGTGTAATTCACAACAAACTACTCATTGGCTCTTTTTTATGTTATTTCCAGTTGTAATGTGTGTACATGAACACAGTAGTGCTATTTTTCACGTTTTGTTTACATTAAATATAATACTGCCCTTAGAGAGAGGACACAATGACAAGTTACATGCCAGACACATAAAAAATGACATAAAATACACCAGAATATAGACATAAAAAGTAGTTTCTAAGACAATGGACTATTTTCAAATGCAAACAATCTAAATAGTGAGTCTTCAAGAGCTAAAGGCTCTAAAAAGACCAATGTAAAAGAAAAAAAATGTAATGAGGCTCTTATGCTCATTAGTGCCAAACGTTAACGATGGCTGTCCAAGGATGACTGCATTAGTCTACATTACACACGTATAGTATTTAAATGATGTCCCATTAGGACACTATGCATGGCACTGACATAATGAAATGGCACATTAAACAGATGGAGACGGCCACAGTTTGTGAAGCCAGCTGTCCTTTTTCAGAGGGTAAACTTTCCACTTTCTATGTTCATATCCGCCATGACCTTGGCTCTTTGTAAACTTTCCACCTCTGATAACCTACGTATTTGTGCCTTTGCGTCTGCCTGTGTGTGTGTATGTGTGTGGGTGTGTGTGTGTGACCAGAACCATCAGAGAGTTCCAGGGAACCTTATCTTGCTATAGTCCTGCAGACTGCAAAGTTATGTAAATGTCAGCATACATACACACACACACTCACACACACACACACACACACACACACACACACACACACACACACACACACACACACACACACACACACTCGGTCGCTGGGCTAACCTGCAGAGATGCTCTGTATTCACTCCTTGGTTCACACTGCTTTATGTTTATATTGCATCGTTGTCACTCGTACGAGTCATTAGAATTCCTTAAAAGCATAAATCTACTCGAACATACACAACACATTTGCATAAAAACGTTTGCATAAACAAATAAAAAAAAGAGTTCCAAGGTTCATTGGATTAGGCATCAAATGAACATGCTCAAAAGGTGTTCAGCCCCTCAGCAGTCTAACCAGAAGAATCCACTTTTGCTGCGTCATCATCAATTTGCGGTCGTGGGTGTGTTTTTAGAGACATTGTGGCACTGTCCCATACAGTTCATTATAATCACTTGTGATAGTGTACATCTTTTTAATGCTCCTTGAATCACCTGCACATTTCAAGGTTAAGCTTGTCCGAACTCCACCATGCATTTCCTCCCGCAGTTCGGGCAGATCTGCTGAGGTGAATTGGTAATGCCCCATAGGTTGCAGTTAGTTCCTTGAATTAGTGTGTATTTCCATGGCTCCCAACCAAAATGGGTCTCTCCTCATTTGCACTCCTTTGTAGAGTATCACTTCACACCAGGTCAGGCGGGGACACTCCGTAAAGCAGAACGAGGTGTCCGTACTTTCCGTTCCGTGAGCCGATGAAACAAGTGCACTAGAATAGTACGCGGGACAGTCCTCAGTGGGGTATGTTTGTCGTGCAAGTGAGCAAATGGATGAGGACCAGGGCGAAGGTGTAGCAGCCGGTCATCATTTGGGGCGGCGGCCCCCCGTGACAGATTTGTGTCACAGTGCGCATCGCCCAAGTATCTGGGTTGATTATGAATGGACAGTTTAACGAGGACCAGTGACATCCAGAAGCATTCCCGACTGCATTGGTCTCTTGATGGTGTGAAACATTTGAGGGTCAAGCGAGGCAGCTGGCCCGAGATGAACGCGTGCTGTGCAGTTGTTCACAGCTCTCTTGGGAAATCTTCATCGGGCCTTTTATTTTTGTTCACCAATCCTTTGATCCGCAGATGTAGAGGAAGCAGCAAAGGGAGGGAGCAGAAGGAAAATGTCTTGTGGCCTGTTGATGAGCTGTCACTGTCCACCCTGTTCCTTCCCTCTTCTTTTTCTTCGTTTTTTTTCCTCCCCCCCCCCCCAGTTTTGCCTTTTCTCCGCGTGCTTGGGATGCCTCCCATTTTCTTTTGCTCTAATTACTGCTTTAGTAAACTGTGTCAGCGCGCCGAAATAGTTTTGATGAGGGGTCCGGCTGCGTTTGCATCTGTAATTTGATGGGTTTCATTTGGGGACACATAAAACCAGACACACCAGAGGGTACGTGACCACATCAGAGCTGCAGGGTCGGCCGAGGTTATTTTTAGCCACATCACGCTAGTCCGGTGGCGGCCACATCATTTTGGTAAGCCTCTGATTGAAATCGATCCAGCTCGGTTGAGCTGGTACTCTTTGCCAAATCTGAGGGCCCTGAATTTGTCGTGCACTGTGCTGAGTTTGGATTCCTCAATATGTATCCATTTATTATGCTCTCTGCTGGTATGCTCACTGTAGCTGCTTCCCCATGGAAGAGTGCACTGTTCGACTTGCAAAAGACTCCTGCGTACGCGGTTAAGGCAGATTTATCTAGGGTGCATGTATTTAATGAAATGGTGATATTTGAACTATGACAATCCAAAGTGGAGGAGGCTATTGTCCCACCTTCCTTTTTTTTATTTAATCATCTTATGTAGGAGGAACTGCTTCATGCATTAACAATGGTTTGCAAAAGGTTATCAGAGTTGTTTGTTTTTTAATAGAATACGCAAGTGCAAAGGTTTCAAACTGACTGCTAGCTTGGTGTGACTTACACAATGAGAATGAGGGGGTCAACTTTGTCTCCATGGCCATTACGGACAGGTTCATTAAGATGCGTGTGGTGCACGGAGGCCAGTTCTCTGGACGGATTACTGTCCGGACTAAGCGCCGTGTAACAATGTCAAGCCCATAATCAGGCTTGTTTTCTGGCAGCAGCATCATCACATGACTGTTCATTAGCTCTTTCTACAAAATCCCTCAGCCCGTCACTTTTCACCCTCTTCACAGGTAAAGGGTTCTCTAGCTTTTTGATGCTAGGAACTGCTCCAAGACACACACACATCATTCCATTTTCATTTTACTCCATCTAAATTCCATCAGATTACTGATGAGGAGACAGAGATTTGAATGTCAACCATGTTAACGGGTCTTGCTATACCCTGATATTCCGTGTACTTTGCATTCTGATGTTGTTTAAGCTCAGACGGCCTTCTTGGCTTATTCCCATGCGACGGATGACACATGACACCTCTGGCTCTCTAGTTGCTGTTTTTGCGTCATCGCGTTCACATTTTAGCTCGTTTGAGTCTGCCGTCCCTTGACAATGTGGACTGCCTCAGACGTTTTCCGAGGGAGTGACAGCTCAGGGTCATACCCGCGTGCACGGGTGTATTCTATGTGCCAGCCGGCCAAAGGTGCAAAAAAATGGATGAAAGTTTTTCAATTGCATTTTTGCTCTTCGTATTTGTGAAGTACATAATCGTTTCTGGGTGTGTTACCTCCGACATGTAGGGCACTAATCATTTTAAGATCATTGTTAAGCTTAATTATTTTTAATGTTACAAATACAGTGTTTGTGTGGACTCAATGATTCCTACACACTCAGACTGGCAATCAAGCCCTGAAGCTAAAGGACTTATCTCTCCAGCGCACATTACACGCTATGAAAAGATGAAATCATTCACACACACACACACACACACACCTTGTTCTGCTATAAGCGTCTTCTAGACTGACATTTCTTTTAGGTTAAAACGTGCATTAATCCCGCAGGAGGGGACAGAACAGGCTGCATGGCTAGCGTAGGAAATACCATAAAACCAAATCCCAATTGATCATTTCGAAAGAAACAAGCTTTTATTGTGTTAGTTGAGGTTTGGGGTTTGAGTTGGCCTTTGACTATCCAATGTAAAGCTGCTGGCAAACTGCCCAACTCAGAACTGAGGCAGTAAAACATTTAGCGGCAGGAAAGATTAACACAGTTTTTGACTAGAAAATCAAAAACAGGTGCCAGTTTTCACGGCCTTTTCCTCTCACAGGGGTCTCCTTAGGTTACAATGCAATTCAAGCTACCGAAGCGATGTTGCTTTCAAGTTTTACTTAACAGTTGACATAAATGGTTTACATTCCAAACAGGGATCACCACCTTTCCTCATTAAGAGATTGTTATTTACCAGTCATAATCACTTTTGAATCCGATTGCTCAAGCGGTCACATGAAATCTTCCCCCCTTCCCCAAGCAGCTGCGTTGCTCTCTAATCCTCGGTGGCAGAGCGGTCGTATATAAAGTCCTCATGCTGTATACATGAAGGTTCCAGCTAAGTGCTCCACTTCCCTTCAGTGACTTGATCCATTTAACTTCCCATCCCTGTCTTAAGAGGATACCGAGACCAAAGCCTTAAATCCCAGAGGCCCCCGTGACCACGGGACGGGAGGGCAGCAGAGCCGGTCCAATGAGCTCTCGTGCCGTGCGTGTTCGACATACAAGAGAAAGTTACCTGTTCACTCTAATGAGCCGATTACATGGAAAAGGCCGTTAATCCTTGTTTGACTCATTTAAAACAAGTAGCAATCGCAAAGGTCAGAATGTGCAAAGAGCTGAGCATTTTGGTGTTCAACATCAGGGCAATGTCCGTGGTGTTTTTGGACAATCGGTTCAAAGGTTTTGATATGGTCAAAGGAGATGTTTGAGTCACATCGGACAGTGATGGAAATATTGAACGGCAGAATTTGGCAGTACTGGAAAGTACTAGACATTGTATGACAGTTGAATTTTAAACTTTAATTACAATAATTGTTTGTGCTTTTATGAAATACACACAACTTAATACAATAAAAATACATAAATTGATGAATGTTTAAATTGGAATTGTTAATTGAGCATTTGTCCATTTTTAC